CGATCTCCCCAAAACCCCAAAACCCCAAAACCCCGTGAGATAAGATTAGATGATGTAATAGAGATTCGAGGAATTCATTAGCTGTTATTAGCGAAAGATATTATAATCATTAAACTTAAAGATATGAAGAAAATTCTCCTCATCGCTCAAAACGAGACTAAAGCTCAAGAAGGTGCCGCCCTCTTCACAGGACTGACTGTCAGACAAGTATATCCAGGAACCAAGAGATTCCCTAGACACTTTGATGCAGTCGTTATTTATCACAACGAACCTTCTGAGACTAACCTCTTCAAGGATGAGATTGAGAAATATAGCGATGCACCCATCAAGGTCTTCCTCGGTAAGACTGCTCATGATTAGGCTGAGCACTATCATGCTAGAGCTTTCACCCATGCTGAGGTCGCTGATGCAGTTGAGCATCTTACCAAAGAACACTCTGGTCTTGTTGAATTGGTCACCAAAGTATTCACCAGTTTCGATAAAGATGGCAGCGGATTCATTGAAAGAGATGAATTGAAAAATGTTGCCAAAGAGCTCGGAAGACCTCTAGATAATGCTGAAGTTGAGGAGTGCCTTAAGGATCTTGATCTTAACTCAGACGGAAGAATCTCTCTTGACGAATTCCAAAAATGGTGGTTATCAGGAAGACAAGGATTAAGCAACCTTATGAGAGGCTTATTAGCCATGAAACTCAAGGCCTCTAAATTCTTTACTGATATCTCATCTCAACTCAGTGAAGTTGTCCTCGATGCTGCCAACCATCCAGTCGAGATTAACACAAGTTCCATCTCTATCAGCTTGAACAATGTTGAAAATGCCGGTACTCACCTCTACACCAAATTTATGGTTCTTTCAAACGAGCTAAAAGAAGAGTACAACAAAATCAGAACTATCCACAACTTCAGTCATGACTCAAGACCATTCCTTGCTAATCTAACCTTAGCAATCAAGGACGGTAAAGCTGCTGAAGCTCAGGCTACTCTTAATGAAGCTATTGAAATGTACGGACTCAATCAATTCCTCCAAATCAGCGTTGTAGCTGAAGGTGCCAGCAACCTCTCAATTGGAGTTTCACTTCCCATGATTCCAACTTCAATCATCCCACTTCCAAGTGAAGCTGTTGATGCAATCTAGGACAGCTTGAAAGTCAATTAAAACGTTGAGGTCTCAGTAAGACTTAGCGCTTCTCCTTAATCTCTCCTTTCTGAAGGTGCTGAACCACTCCTTAAGTAAATTCTATCAGGTCTTCAATTGGAGGTTAGAGTTAATCTATGGAGAAAGATTTCAAATGTTCTTATTAAGGTAATTGAATAAGGTGAATTAGATGCCTCAATCCTTCCAATCTTTGGTGGACTTGCCCCAGCATTCTTACTTAGACTCAGAGGTAGCCTCGAAATTGATGTTGATGAAGAAATGCAAAATACTCTCTTCTCTAACCCAATGGTTGAACCAATCCTTATGGACGGATTAACTCTTATTCATGCTCTTGGAGGATGCACTTCAGACGATGCTGCTGATTACGAGGAACACTTGAACAGCCACGTTCCACCTCCTCTCTCTGCTGTTATCAGAGTTCTCAATCAACATCTTGGAGATGAAATCTCTTTCTCTGTAGTTTCAGATAGAGTTGGAGTTGCTGGTAGACTTAACGGAGAAGGTCTCGGACCCGCCATCAGACATGCTTCTAAATTATTCAAATGATTATGAGAAAAAATCTAAATCAACTTTGATTAAGACTTTAACTTAAAATCTTTTCTTATTAATCTCTAATATACTATAATTAAAACACTCAAAGGAATTTACCCTCCCAAATTAATTAATAATGATAATAAAGTTAAAAATATTTAGTAAGCATTAAAAAGTACGACAACTGCAGGATTTGAACCTGCGCGGGTAACCCCATGAGATTTCTAGTCTCACGCCTTAACCACTCGGCCAAGTTGTCTGTCCTCGAGGTTCATACCCACTCAGACGATTTTATATCCCTTTTACGATAAATTATTATTTATTAATTCCAATATCTCTATTAATCCCACTCCCACAAAACCGAATAATATCACCCAGAAAGGGAAATCCTAAAATCAAAATAAATCACAAATCCATATATTTTAATTAGTTAATGCATTCTTAATCTTTGACTTACAAGTTTATTCCAATCCATTAGATGCTTTGAAGACCCAAAGTAGGCTAATAGTAGAAGCACAACTAACTTTAGTTTGAGCCAAAATAAATTTAGATAGTCAGACAAACTATAGATTAAATTGTACAAATGAATTTAGCTTACTTATTAGTTAGATTAAACACACTTGGCAGTTGAAGCTATTCATACTAAATCTTAATTCCAGATGTGATAAGAGCCAAACTGATGGAACATTCTATTATACTTTGGAAATATCTATAAACTTCATTAACTATTCTGGACTTACAAAATTGATCTGCCAAATAGTGTCGTGATGACCATAAATACAAGTATTTCCTGAAAAAGGCATTTCATTATTTAAATTAGAGAAATCTTTTTGTCAAGACTAGACAAGATCAAATAGATAATGAGCATAAGGGTTCTGAACAACTTATATTGATTTGAACAATTATCCTCGAACATCATAGACTAAGTAAAATAGAACAAAGGCATTACTAAGAATTGTAGTTGCATTTTAATTTGAAGTTTGTAATTTATCAAATCATGCATTCTTCAGGTGAAGGGGTTTTGGGGTTTTGGGGTTTTGGGG